ATAATATTGTTGCGTAATAATACCAGGAGGCAGCTCTGATGAAAAACTCACACTCACGCGAGCTTTTTAAATCCTGCACAAAATTTAATTTAAACCAGCAAATAATAGAGCCTACTAGACTGGAGAATACACTAGACCTATTTCACTAACAATGATGATCTGATAAGAAATGTCACCATATCAAAAACATATACTCAGATCACAACATAATTGAGGTTCAGTCATGTATGCGCGGACCCCCAGACCGACATAATGAGATTAGTCACGAGGGAGCATTCACCAAATTCAACTTCAATAACAAAAACATAAAGGGGGGACCAAGTAAACCAAGTCCTAACTGATATAAGCTGGGAAGATATACTAAGCAACACAGACCCCAACTTATGCCTAGAACAGATTAACTCGGTGGCACTCGATGTATGCACAAGGCTTATTCCTCTAAGAAAAAGGAGGAGTAGATGTAAACAGAAAGAGACAGGCGCTCCCTTTACAGGCGATGGAAAAGAATAACAGAGCGGCTAAAAAGAGGTAATATATCTGAAATGCGTAGGGAGACATGGTCAGAGAAATAGCAAGCATCGAACTTAAGCTAAAAGAATCCTTTAGGAGTCAGGAATCGCGGGAAGAACTAAAAGCCATAAATGAAATCGAAAGAAACCCAAAGTATTTCTTCTCCTATGCCAAATCAAAATCGAGAACAACGTCCAGTATTGGGCCCCTACTTAAAACAAGATGGGTCCTACACAGATGACAGCAAGGAAATGAGTGAGCTACTCAAGTCCCAATATGACTCAGTTTTTAGCAAGCCGCTAACCAGACTGAGAGTCGAAGATCAAAATGAATTTTTTATGAGAGAGCCACAAAATTTGATTAACACAAGCCTATCTGATGTTATCCTGACGCCAAATGACTTCGAACAGGCAAATAAATGACATGCCCATGCACTCTGCCCCAGGGCCAGACTCATGGAACTCTGTGTTCATCAAGAACTGCAAAAAGCCCCTATCACGAGCCTTTTCCATCCTATGGAGAAACAACAGACATAGCCCCACTCCACAAAGGGGGCAGTAAAGCAACAGCAAAGAACTACAGACCAATAGCACTAACATCCCATATCATAAAAATCTTTGAAAGGGTCCTAAGAAGCAAGATCACCACCCATCTAGAAACCCATCAGTTACACAACCCAGGGCAACATGGGTTTAGAACAGGTCGCTCCTGTCTGTCTCAACTATTGGATCACTACGACAAGGTCCTAAATGCACTAGAAGACAAAAAGAATGCAGATGTAATATATACAGACTTTGCAAAACCCTTCGACAAGTGTGACCATGGCGTAATAGCGCACAAAATGCGTGCTAAAGGAATAACAGGAAAAGTCGGTCGATGGATCTATAATTTCCTCACTAACAGAACACAGAGAGTAGTCGTCAACAGAGTAAAGCCCGAGGCAGCTACGGTGAAAAGCTCTGTTCCACAAGGCACAGTACTCACTCCCATCTTGTTCCTCATCCTCATATCCGACATAGACAAGGATGTCAGCCACGGGCACCGTGTCTTTCCTTTGCAGATGACACCCGAATCTGCATGACAGTGTCTTCCATTGCAGACACTGCAAAGCTCCAGGCGGACATCAACCAAATCTTTCAGTGGGCTGCAGAAAACAAATATGAAGTTCAACGATGAGAAATTTCAATTACTCAGATATGGTAAACATGAGGAAATTAAATCTTCATCAGAGTACAAAACAAATTCTGGCCACAAAATAGAGCGAAACACCAACGTCAAAGACCTGGGAGTGATCATGTCAGAGGATCTCACCTTAAAGGGGCCCAAAACATTGTATCAATCGCATCTGCTAGAAAAATGACAGGATGGATAATGAGAACCTTCAAAACTAGGGAGGCCAAGCCCATGATGACACTCTTCAGGTCACTTGTTCTATCTAGGCTGGAATATTGCTGCACACTAACAGCACCTTTCAAGGCAGGTGAAATTGCCGACCTAGAAAATGTTACAGAGAACTTTCACGGCGCGCATAAAGGAGATAAAAACCTCAATTATTGGGAGCGCTTGAGGTTCCTAAACCTGTATTCCCTGGAAGCAGGAGGGAGAGATACATGATTATATACACCTGGAAAATCCTAGAGGGACTAGTACAAAAACTTGCCACGAAAATCACTACTACAAAAGCAAAAAGATTGGCAGCGATGCCCATCCCCCCAATGAAAAGCAGGGGGCCCTTAGCACGTTAAGAGACCTACAATAAGTGTGGGGGCCCCGAGATTTTTCAATGCCCCCCAGCAACAAAGGGGGATTACCAACGACCTGGCGTCTTCAAGCTGGATGGACAAAAATTAAAAGTCAGTTGGTCAGCCGGGTATGGCCTACTTTGGTTTGCGTGCCCCCAGCAGCAAAAGCTGGTTGATAGGCTTGTCCACCAGGGAGGCCGGGTACCGACCGGGCCGCGGGGGCGTTGACCCCCGGAACTCTTCCAGGTAAATCAGGAAAACCCCTCCCCATAACCTCCCCCCCCAAAAGTTCCCAAATGCCACAATTGATTCCTCAACTGGATAGGATTCTCAGGGTTAGCCTCAAACTTCAAATCCTTTGGTCTAAAATTTGGGCCCAAACAGTTTCTTAAAAAGCAGATTTCAAGGTCCTTTAGCACTCCCCCCCCAAGTTTCCCCCTTAACCTTCACAAAACTGGGATATTAAAGTACTCTCTCCAAAACTTCTTAGAGTCATTGAGTTTCTGAGGCATCAAAGCCCCTTTAAAAACGGCTTTTGTGTAATTTTTTTAAAGTAAAAAAACCCTGCTGGTCCTTGGGCTGCAGGGAGGAGTGGTATTAGGGGCAAAACTTGCCCTTAATAAAGTCAGTCCCACAAAGTCGCTTCCCAAGTCTGTAGGGGACCGGGGGTTTTGTCAATACCAGGGGGCATTTAAAGGTTAATTTCTTTTCGTTAGGAAATTTTTCACGTGGGGGTAAATGTTGGTGTAACAGTATAAAAAAAGTCCTGTGACCCATCCCTTTTGTTTGCCCTCCACAGCACTACAAATTAGGCTTGAGGTTTTTTTTCCCTGAACGTTTGGGGAGTTTCGTGGATACACTAAAAAAGGCTTCATTTGCAATCCCCACTGCTTGCACCATGAGAAGAGTAAGCCTGTTTTTTCATGGGTTTTGTCCGGGAGTGCCTTTTCCCCTGGAAAATGTAGGTCCTGCTTGGCATTTTCTTCCAAACAGGCCTGTTTCATCAAAATTAAACATTGTTGGGTTTTCGCCCTTCATGTCTATGTTCCTTAAATTTCATGCACATATTTTTCAGCTGCTTTTTGGTCCGAACTGGAAAGCCTCCCTGCCTTATCAAAAAGTATGCCCCCTACCCCTCTTAAAATTCTCAAACCAACCTTTGTGGCCAAAAATTCACTCGCATACCTTATTTGCAGGCTTTTTTCAAATTTAAAATCCCGTGAAACTTCCTCCCTTTTTTCCTTTATGATCGTTGAGAGAGCACCCCCCTGCTACCCGTTTTTCGTTTATCCACCCCAAATAACGTTTAAACATCTTCTTTTCACTTGCGTTTCTCTGTTTCAAAAGCACAGTTTAAACCTTTGGAAAGAAGTTTCCCTTGTTGCCTTTCTTTGGGACACATTAAAAATTTTGGGGTTGATTGGGGTTTCCCATACACCTGGCCAGCTCGGGACCCCACTCCCCTTTTATTAGCAATGATTCTTCTTCTCTCCATAGTAATTCTCACCCTTTTCCGTAGGGTTGGCACTAGAAGCTTTTTGGGGCCCAGGTCACTTATTTTTCAGGTGAAATCGCTATAAAAAGGCTGTAATAATACGAAAAAGTTCCGATTTTAGCTTGAAAGTTACCCCGGGGGCGGCTTGTAAAAAATGAACTGGCGAAAAAGGGTGGTCAGGCCCATGGAGTGTTCGGACGAATGCGTTGAGGAAAATTTTTTAAACTATGGAGGCAAAATTTTTGTGATAAAATTTTTCGCAATGCGGATTTAACATATGCGATGCCAACGTTATGGGGGGTCCACTGATAAGAAATAATTTTATATGCTGGACTTGAGTAGGGAAAAGAGAAGTACAAAGCTGCACTTTAAAGGAGGGGTTTGGGGTATTTGGAGTTTGGAGGGATAGTTGTGTTCTTTTACGTACATGTTTTTAAACTGTTGTGTTTGGGATCTCTGCAAAAAAAAGTGATTTTGTTGAGTGAGGGGAAAAATGTTGAAGTGATTAAGTATTTTCTTTTTGGGATTTTCTTTCTTTTTGGGGCACCCTGCCTCGGTGGGAGAGGCCAACTTTTTAAAAAAAAAAAAATTAACCTCTGTACCTTGGAGATGCGGCATTGGTTTGGGGGGGGAAGATAGGATTTGTTTGTAGTGGCCCTATTTACCCCCAATAAAACGGAGTGTCGTTTTATGTCATCCTTTTTCTATCGCTTAAATTACTTTCTACACTATTTAAAGCCAAACCCTTTTCATGGCTGGCGCTATGCCTTTTCAAAACTGTGTTTTAGTTTGTAATATGTAGAATCATTGACTCATGAAAAAGGCCATTCCCCCTCTCTCTTCCTCCTCCACTTTGGTACTTTGCATGGTTTTTTTTGAATTCTATTGTGTTTCTCACCTTCTTTTTCCAAAGGGGTGGCATAGAAGCTTTCTTTGGGGGCCTGGTGGGTTATTTGCTTTCAAGCACCAAAAAAAATGGTTATTTGAAATGTATATTGAACACCTGGATATGGTTACCGTTTTGAAACAAAGCCACACTGACGTCTGATTGTTGTGATTTTGGGGAACTGGATTGTGATGTTGTTTGAGGCAAATCCGAATCGGAGGCTTTTTTGACAAAAAAAATTTTCGAAGGGCAAATTATGAAAAGGGGAGGTCGTGAAATCAGGGGTCCACGTATTTATATTATTGTCGACGTACCTCGTGATCCATCCCCTAATTAACACACCCTTTTGATCGTAATAATCAACTACCTTGTGGGTCCCCTTTGGTTTGAAAGGGTTTTGTGAGTGGGTTGGTCTGGTCGTCGTGTAGCGGGAGAGCGTGCAGCCGTCAGACTCCAGCTCCGGCAACACTTGCTGGGTGCAGTAGATAAATCGACCTAGGCAGAGATTTTTCATTAACACTGGCTATAATTACTAAGGATAAACATGAATATTTGAAAGACTAGTGAAATATACTGCTTGTTTAAAATTGTTGATTATAAAAAGAATTTTCTAAAATAAGTTTACACAATTTATGAATTTTGGTTGGCTGGAAGATTACAGAAGAAAGAAATATAAGTAAGAGTTTAAGAGATGGAAAAAACAAACTATTGTACTAGTTTAATAAGGAATAAAACAATGTATTTACTAAGAGTAGGAGTGTGTGGAGCTTGGTGACAAAACTAGAGTGCATCACCTGCCCTTCTGGAGTGCAAGATCATCTGTTAATACTGCAGCTTATGAACTTACATTAGTAAGTTAGTAACTTACATGTTCCTGGTTTAACAACTTCTGAGTTTTAACCCTTTCAGGGTCAACAGGCCCTCTCCGAGACTTGTTCTCAGGGTCGCCCAAATTTAAAAAAAAAAAAAATATTTTTTCTTATGAAAAGATAGAGAATCTTTTCCCGATCATAATGACACCAAAAGTAAGAAATTTGATGGAAAACTTACGGAAATATGCTCTCGCGAAGTTAGCGGTCTCGACAATGTTTACGCATTAGCGATTTTGCTCACTTTGAGCCCTATTTTTGGCCAATTCCAGTGTACTAGTTGACAAAAATCATAACTATTTCGCTAGAACTCCATTTTTTCTATTGAATGAGTACAAGAAATCACCCATTTACCGATTTAAACTATCCAATATAGTGGTCAGAATTTAGCAATTTTGCCAATTTCACACAAATTTCAAAAGATGCCAATTTCCGAATAGAGTCCAGAATAAACAAGAAAGACATTCCTGGCACTAAAATAACATTTCCTCTGTTCATTAGTCACGTCCCCACGCCCCTCTTACATTCTTTTGCTTTCCACTTTGAATTTTTATTCTTACAAAAAAAATAGAAGATTTACCGTTATGCAGACTACTGCATTAGTGTAGAAATGGTATAAATAATGTCAGCGCACTTGTGAAAGAATATTAGACTCACCAGTTGACGTGTATTGGACGCTTGGCATGATTTGTTTACTTTTGAACTTTGGTAAAAATCGAACATTTCTGCTACTTTGAGCTCAATTTCAAGGTACTTTTCATTGTAAAATCAGTCAAAATCATCTCAATTTCTGTAATATGTCTTCCATTCTATAAAATGAGACCAGGAAAACTAGAATACAACAATAAATACCATACGAAAATACAGTGCAAAGTCGCTGTTTTAATCCAAAAACGCAGTCAAAGCTTTTTTTTTCTCATTATGCACTGTGTTCTGCAGGATTTTTTTTATACTGTGTACACTGACCACACAGACCCGTTCTTTAATATGTAGGCCTACCAGCTTTCTCTTCCTAAATTTGAGGGCGCTAGAATTTAGGCGTACTAGTATGTCAAAAACCCTGGTGCGTAAGCCGTACTAGTACGGCCGAAACCCTGAAAGGGTTAAAGAAAACAATCAAACAAATTATATTCATGCTGAATATTGGATTTTGTAAAAACTTGTGTTCTAATTGTCACATTTGTAAGTGTGGATATTTGCACCTTGGTATATATGTATGTTAGGGACCTCCTTAATACATGTTTGTCACAGGTGAGAAAGAGAAAATGTAACTACTGTACACATAACTTTTGTCCTACCTTCCCCATGTGCCACCCACACTCCCAGCTTTGCACCTTCCATGCCCTTCAACAACACAGACTTTGAAGTCTCGACTACAACTCTGGACCAGCGAGACTCAAAACGTCCAGAGATGTTCTGAGCTAAAACAACTGCTGAAGATTTATCTGCTGAAGCACACAAGAATTAACAATACAACAAAAGACAGTTACTATCTTAAAATTTTAATGCCTAGAACTGAAAGATAATTTCACAAGAGACTTTAAATTCAGGATTATTACACTGTACCTAACTTCAGCTATACCAAAATCTTTGTATTCTAGTGTTTTATCACTTATCCAAATATGGTTAATCATTTTATAAGTAAACAATTATTGCTGCAATACGAAGCAATAATTAATTAAACCAATTAGTTATACAGTGGTACCTTGAATTTCAGCCATAATTCATTCCAGAAGGCTGTTCGAGTGCCATTACCAAATGAATTTGTTCCCATAAGGAATAATGTAAATTAGATTAGTCCATTTCAGACCCCCAAAAATACACTTACAAAAGCACTTACATAAATATACTTACATAACTGTTTGAGTTGGGAGCTGTTCGAAATTTGAGGTACCACTGTATTTAAAAGTGTACAATTTATATACTACAGTGACAATAAACAAAGTACAGTAGGGCCCCACTTTACGGCATTTCGCCTTAAGGCGTTCCCCTAGTATGGCGATTTCAAATTATGATCAAAACTCTCCATACAACGTGCCCCATCTGGTTTGTTGACATTCTCTATGAGCACACCTCTCTACAATGTCTGGGAACTTTCCAAAATTTCAAGTGCTTTAAAGTTATTGCATATTTTATATGTACTCTGATAATTATACACATTAAAATCACTAAGAGTGTCCCTTTGGTCTTAATGCCATAGTAATGATACTAATACATAATAATAATCACTCTTGGGCACATTAAATGTCTTATTTTATGTTAATATAGACATTTTCATTAATCCATCTATGATATTTTCAAAATTATATACGAAACACGTTACATAGCATATAAACATGCTATGTTTATATGCAATGGAGGGGTGGTTGCCGGGTGGATGGAAAACATTACATTTTCTCTGGTCCAGGTCCAGAGAAAACGTCTTTGAATCTGCGTTAGCCCAGTCACTCCCTGTTATGCCCTTTGTGCATAATTGAAGAAGAGTCAATTTATTAGTGTGTAAATTACGGCTTTTTCACTTAGTATTATATTACTGGTACCTTTATTCGTAGCTAAAATAAAGACTCCTAGTTTTATAATATTATCTGGCCATGAATTATTGATTTATTTTGTAGGATGTTTTGTGTTTATATGTTGAATTGTCTTGTGGTCGTTTATGCTTCACAAACTCACTCATTCCGAGGTGACGTCAAGCTAAGGAGTTTTACTCATGGCAGTTCATTCTCTCCTCCGGTAGAGAAAGCACCAAGCCATGGAGCTCCCTTATTCTCTTGTTGCAAGTCTCAGGAGAACCTCTGAACCAGGATTCCTAGGTTCAACCAAGGTTGCTTGGATTACTTCAGTCTCCGAATACTTGACGGGTTGCAACTGTGCAGTCAGCCATTTAAGTGAAGCAATACACCACGTCTGTGTTCTCCAACTATCGTGATAGTCTCTAACCAGTTCTAGCTGTAGTGTATATAATTGATTGAGGTGGTAAAGGCGCCCTATCTAGTGTTTCATTGATCTTGACTTTGATTATGAAACTTCAGTGATTGTGTACATATGAATACATGTATATAAGAAAAGGTATACCTAAATTTTATCAATTATTTAAATTACTAAGTGACTCTATATAAGCTTAGTATTATACTGAATAAAACCAGATAAAGCATTATAGAACTTTTTTGCCTTATATTTATATATGTGTATTTAAAAAGAGTAAGAAGACCTAAGTGGATCTTCACCTGTTGTTACTAACGGGTCTCCTCTCTGAAAAGAAAGACTCAAAACGTAACACTCCCCTTAACACATAACGCTTTTGTTTACAATTCTCGGAATGAATTATTCATTACTTCTGCCTTTATTTACGATGGCATCTAAAGGTAGTTGTTAGAAATGATTAAACTCGTAAACATGGTATGTCGATGGTAATACTACGGCTGTGGGCTGCATTAAATATCGTGTAGCTATGTATGTAGGTGTAGGTATGTAGCACAGGTGGACTACATACCTGCATTATTATAATCAAGGGGGAAGTGCTAAACCCATAGGATTATACAGCACCTGTGGGGTGGCTGTGGAAGGTATTCAGGCTTACTTCAGGAAACTGGAGCTCAGATCCAATTCTCTAGATCAAGAGCCCCTCACCAGCATCAAGGAACCTTCCTTGAGGGGTACATACCTACATCTACCGGATACCTACACCTGACTTCCTACAAATAAATACTACTCACCTCTCATCCTACATATTTTAAGGTAAATAATTAGTGTACTGTATGTGTATTTTATCTCTCTGGGCTGCCTTAATTATCATATATTAAGTTTGGGATGGGGAGCCAGGGCTACCCACACCTGACTTCCTACAAATAAGTACTACTCACCTCTCACCCTGCATTAATAAGACTACAAATATTTTAAGGTAAGTAATGAATGTACTGTGTATGTATTTTACTTTTTATTGTGTTTTTAATGCCTAATTCTATTACTAACTTAATATAAGTTAGTGTAAACTTGTTGTCTGGCATTTCCATGCATTTATAAGGGGAAAATATGGCGTTCTGCTTTCCAGCGATGTCTGCTTTCCAGCAGAAGCCTGGAACCTAACCTGCCATGTAAGTGGGGCCCTACTGTTATTAGAATTTTACACAGGAAATTTAACAAGACATAAAAAGTACCATTCTTGTTTGATCATTCTTGCAATAATGACAAGAAACTTTACTGTATATATGTGTGTGAACAATGTGTGCCTCACCCTGGTGGTGACCAGGAGGATCCAGCCAGCCTAGAAGTGCCATCAGTTGACATCCATTACACACACCAAGGGAGAAGGTATTGGACTTGCTCTTCCAGGCATCCAAGGCATCCAGCAGTCTTGAACATCCATTTATTACCTTAGCCCATCCTACTGCTGACCCAAGAACATCTATTAAAAACAGAAAAAAGAATTAGCACACAATCATTTTCAGTGATCCCATTACTACTTAAAAGTAATTTAACGGAAAAATGCTGCATGCAGCTGCTAATAACAGCATTCTCTCTTATACCGTATAATGCTTAATTCAATTTATGATCACTGTACAGTATATACAGGTAAACAAGTCGACCTGGTGTATAAATTGACCTCTAAATTTTTTAAATGTAAATATTACGGAGTACTATATTAAAAATTTATATATAAAATAACACTATATAATGTCATTTTCCGTGTAGTATACTGAAAGTGGATGTGTATTATTCCCTGAAAGTGAATGTGTTTTATTCCTGTCAGTCAAGCACTGGCCCGGACAGGAGCAGATGAGAGGTGTGTGTTGTTCAGTATGTGTACGAAGGCGGCTGGGGGAAGTTGTCATGGGTTGGCAGTAGTCTGAGTAGGTAATTTTGTTAATTTTTTTTTTTAGTGTATACCATAGTTGTTTGAGTGCTCTCATGTTTATTTGTAAGGCCCCAGTATGCAGAGGCTTGTTTAAGCGAGAGTACTGTATGGTGTTTTGCCTGCTGATAATTAGTCTACCAGGCAGAAGTGAAGACGGGGTGTGTACGTCATGGAGCCTCCCTGATGATTTATTGTTTAACTCATTAGTAGCAGTGTGTTGGTGAAAAATGTGAACGGGAGTGTGGGGGGTTTTTTTTGGAGTAGACTGAAAGGGTTGTTTTAAATTTCTATTAATTTTTTAAAAATTTTTTTATATGGTGAGTTTTTGTCCTTCCTTCCAAAAAATAATTAATATTTTTTAAATAAAACGAGTACATTTTGGGCCCCCAAAGTTGTTTTTTTTTCCGGGTTAATTTTAAAAAACACCTGGGACGGGCAGGTGACAAGCCCTTTAGAAAGAGTAGTGGTAAACAGAGTTAAATTGGAGGCGGGCCATAGGGAAAAAGGCCCCTGTTCCAAAAGGCCCCAGTATTTCCCCCCATCTTTTCCCTTATCCTCATTTTCAGACATAAACAAAATATACACCCCCAGAAACCATATCACCCTTTTGGGCGGTTGACACTGGATCTGCATGAGGTTTGTCATCTCCCTGAGGACGGGGTTTAAAACCTCCAAGAAGAAAATAAACAAAGTTTTCCAGTGGGCAACGGTAAACAATAGGATGTTCAATGAGGACAAATTCCAACTCCCTCCCGTTATGGAAAACTGGAGGAGATAATAACTAGAACAGATTTAAAACTATGACCCCGGGCCCAAATAAATGGGAGCGGAAAATAAATGTAAGGGCCCTGGGGGGTTAGTAATGTTTTGGGGGACCCTCCTTTCAAGGATCAAAAACCAGTGCCCCCGATCGGCCACGTGCAAAGAAAAGATAGGAGGGATAATGAAGAATTTTTCAAAACAGAGCCCCCAAAGGGCCCATGATGACCCTTTTTTCAAATCACTTGTTTTTTCTTTTAGGCGGGAATACTGCTGTACATTAAACATCTCCATAAAAAAGCGGGTGAAATCGCAGATCTAGAGAGTGAACAGAGATCCTTTACTGCACTTTATAAGTTCTGTCAAGCACCTTAACTACTGGGAACGTTTGGGAAAGGGGCACTTAAAACTTGAAACCTTTTGGGAAACGCGGGGGAGGGGATTTTTTCAAAAAATCTCCCTTTTTGGAAAAAATCTTGGAAGGGAATGGCCCCAAAAATTCTGCCACAGAAATCACTCCCTACAAAAAGAAAAAAGACTGGGCAGGCGTTTGGCAAAAGCCCCCAATTTAAAAAAGTAGGGGGGGCCTTTGGTACACTAAGAAAAAACCCCCAAAGTTTCCGGGGCCCAAAACTGTTAAAACAGCCTCCCATCAAGCTTTTTGGGAAATTTTGCCAAAAACCCCCCCGGTCTTTTTTAAAGAGAGAGGCTAAACAGATACCAAAAAATCAGTCCCCGGATCAGCCGGGGCTTTTGGCTCGTACGTCGGCCTGCTTGGGGCCCAAAGCCGTAACACCCTATTTAAATCAGGCCCTGATCCATCGGGGGGCCGGGCAGGGCCCGGGCCGGGGGGGGGCTTTGTTTCCCCGGAAATTAACCTTCCGGGGTGGGAGCCGGGAACCTTTTATTTAAGTTAACAAACAAAATCGTAACAGCCTGTATTTGCCTGATAGATGACAACCCCCAAGAAAAGAAAAAAAAAAAAAATAAGGCAACAATACACCTCGTTTGTTCCATTCAGAGGGTCTGAGTTTTCCCCATTCAGAGGGTCTGAGTGTCATGTTCAAGGGGCCCGAGTGTCACAAATTTAGAGGGTCTGGTGTCATGTTTTTAGGGGGGTCTTGTGTCACATTCCGGGGGGTTTTTGTTGTCACATTAAAAGGGTCGAGTGGTTTACAATCAAAGGGTCTAGTGTTTATAAATTTAGGGGTTGAGTGTCCCTTCAGAGGGTCTGAGGTCAAAAATCAGAGGGGCGGGGTGTCACATTTAAGGGGGCTGAGTGTCATATTTAAGGGTTTTGGTGTCACCTTTTTGAGGGTTATTTTTCACATTCAAAGGTCGGTGTCACATTCAGAGGGGCGGGGGCCCCATTTAAAAAGGGCTGAGTGTCACATTCAAGGGGGCTTAGTTCACAATCAGAGGGTCTGAGTGTCCCCATTCAGAGGGTCGAGTGTCCCCCATTTTAGAGGGTCTGAGTGTCACATTCAGAGGGTCTGGGGTGTCACTTCGAGGGGCTGGTTCATGTTCGAGGGTCGAGTTTTCATGTTCCCCAGGGGCTAGTGTCACATTCAAGGGGTTAGTGGTTTACATCCGAGGGTCGGGGTGTACAATCAAGGGTCTGAGTGTCTGTTCCCGATTTTGAGTGTCCAAAATTCAAGGGTTTAGTGTCACATTCAGAGGGTCTTTAGTGTCACAATCAAAAGGGTCTGATTTTCACATTCAGAGGGTCTGAGTTTCACAATCAGAAGGGGCTGAGTGTCATGTTCAGAGGGTCTGAGTGTCCCCATTTGGAGGGTCTTAGTGTCACAATTTTTAAAAGGGGCTGAGTGTCACAATTTAGAGGGTCTGAGTGTCACAACTAAAGGGGGGCTGAGTGTCACATTAGAGGGTTGAGTGTACATTCAGAGGGTCTGAGTGTCACATTCAAGGGGGCTGAGTGTCACAATTTGAGGGCTTTAGTGGGCCCTGTTCAGGAAAAGTTTGGCTGAGTGCCCATTCGAGGGGCTTTAAATTCAATTCAAGGGCTGGTGTCTTTTCAGGGGTCTGAGTTCACATTAAAGGGTCTGAGTGTCAAAATTCAAGGGTCTGAGTTTTTCAAAGTTTTAGAGGGGCTTTAGTGTCAAATTCAAAGGGTCTGAGTGTCAAATTCAGAGGGTTTTGAGTGTTTATGTTCCCCGGGGGTTGGGGTTTTCACATTTTAGGGGTCTTAGGTCACGTTCAAGGGTCGATTTATGTTTTGAAAGTTTTGGGTTTAGTGCACATTCTAAAGGGGCTAGTATCCATTCAGAGGGTCTTAGGGGCAAAATTTTGATGGTTTTGAGTGTCACATTCAGATTTGGGTTAGTGTCAAAATTTTAGAGGGTTTTGAGTGTCACATTCAGAGGGTCTGGTGTTTATGTTCAAATGTGGCTGAGTGCCACATTCAAGGGGGTTTGGGGTTTACATTCAAAAGGGTTTTGAGTTTTTCACGTTCAGAGGGTCTGAGTGTCATTTCAAGGGTTGAGTGTCCATTCAGAGGGTCTGGGGGTCATGGGTTTAGAGGGGCTTGGGGTTCCATTCAGGGGTCTGAGTGTCACATTAAAAGGGGGTTTTGGGGTCACATTAGAGGGTCTGGTTTTCATGTTCAGAGGGGTTTAGTGTCAAAATTCAGAGGGTCTGGTGTTTACATTCAGAGGGTCGAGTTCACATTCAAAGGGGTTGAGGTCACATTTTAGAGGGTCGAGTGTCACATTCAGAGGGGTTTATTTTCACATTTTAGAGGGTCTGGTGTCACATTCAGGAGGGGGGTGGGGTTTTCACCCTTTTAGGGGTCTGTGTTCACATTTTTAGAGGGTCTGAGTGTCACATTCCAAAAGGGTCTGGTGTACATTCAGAGGGGCTGGGGGTCACATCAGAGGGCTGGTGTACATTCGAGGGTTGAGTGTCCCCATTTTTTTAGAGGGGCTGAGTGGGTTTACAAACAAGGGTTTTGAGTGTCACATTAGGGGGGCTGAGTGTCACTTCAGAGGGTCCCGAAAATGTCACATTCAAAAGGGGCTGTGTCCATTTTCCCGAGGGGCTGAGTGTCACTTTTAAGGGTCTGAGTGTCACATTCAGAGGGTCCCGAGTGTCCAATTTTAGTGGGTCGAGTGGGCACATTCAGGGGTCTGAAATGTCCTTCGAGGGGGCTGAGTGTCACATTCGAGGGTCTGAGTGTCACATTTAGGGTCTGAGTGTCCATTCAGAGGGTCTGATGTCACATTTTAAAGGGGGGGAGTGTCAATTCAGAGGGGGTTTAGGGGTTTACATTCAAGGGTCTGAGTGTTTTCCCCTTCAGAAAGGGGGTTTAGTGTCCCCATTCAGAGGGGTCTGAGTTTTCACATTCAAAGGGGGTTTAGGGCCCTTTAGAGGGTCTTGGGGGTTTTCAACATTCAGAGGGCTGAGTGTCACATTTAGAGGATCTGAGTGTCACATTCAGAGGGGGGTTTAGAGCACTGACAATAGGGAAAAACAGGATTTTATTCCATCCCTTTTTTTCCCAGCTTTTAAATTTTCTCTAATTTTTAGTATTTAGCTATTATTTCAAATTTTAAAAACATGACATTCTTTTAATTAAAAAAATGTTTTGGGTACAAAAAAAAAAACAATTTGTAGGAAGTAGACCAATTGGGTGATAACATCATCAGGAAAAGTGGTGCACTAATGTGGTGTTATTTTTTCACCTCTAAAGGGACACCAACATTTATATTTGGGTTAAAAAAATTGACTTTTTAAAACCCGGGCCGAAAAGGTTTTTATTTACAAGGTTTTCAGTTTGGCCCCCATAATTT